TCATCATATGATCATAAATGCACATGCAGGGCTTTATAGAATTAAAATGTAAATAAAATGCTGAGCATGATCATGAAAAGCATGTAAATCATGGTACAAAAAAAATGCATGTCTATCTCATTCATATTTCCAACTTCAGTATTTAGGAAATCATTTATAAATAAATCATTCGTTAATAAGCTTTCACGATGCTATCTAAAAAGATGAAAAAGATTAATGACTATGATTTAAAGGTGTAGGGATTAAACCTGAAACAATAGTACGCTCTAATTTTTTCCCTATATTAATGTATTTTTTAGGTGTTTTATTACTTTTAAGGGATTTGCTTATATATAGCACTCAAAATTGATTTTAATACCTAAACTTCAATATCTACATAGTCTAAAACCATTTCAAACACTCTAGTCCTATTCATATGTTTCGCTAGAGAGCTTTGCCATGACTTCGACACTCACGATCCTAGTAAGCTTCATCACGACTTGCTTATGCTTTGTCGATCGATGGTGTGTGATGAAGGTGACGAGATAGGCCGCATGCGAAAGTGACAACAAAAATATGATCTATGGTGTGCAAAAGTATGTGAGATGGGATATAAATTACATTTGGGGATATATGATTTTTTTGTTTAAATTTCAAGTGTTAAATGTTAAGTTAAGGTTTCATTTGAAATAGTTTTTTATCATTATTTTTTTCACTATTTTAAAGAAATTTTAAAGCTAAGCAGTTATAAGAAGTAGCAAAAATTATCTCAAACAAACTTAAATATATAAATATTTTTTTTTGAATGCTAATGTTAATAAATCCTCTTATATTTTAGCACAAATCTAACTCAAATGAATCTAACACAAATTGAGTTGAAGAAATTAATTTAGGGGCTGTTTGGTTGCCTGAAAATAAAATACATTGTAAAGTAAGTGCAATGTAAAGTAAATGTAGTTCATTCCGAATACTTTGCGCCAGTTTTGTTTAAAATTTTTTCACTATTTTAAAGAAATTTTAAAGCTAAGCAGTTGTAAGAAGTAGCAAAAATTATCTCAAACAAACTTAAATATATAAATATTTTTTTTGAATGCTAATGTTAATAAATCCTCTTATATTTTAGCACAAATCTAACTCAAATGAATCTAACACAAATTGAGTTGAAGAAATTAATTTAGGGGTTGTTTGGTTGTCTGAAAATAAAATACATTGTAAAGTAAGTGCAACGTAAAGTAAATGTAGTTCATTCTGAATACTTTGCGCCAGATTGGTTGTCTGCAAAATAAACGCAGGAGAATTGTTTTCCTTGTTTGGTTAGGTAGATCTAGAGTAAATTAAAAGCGGGTTTTTTGTAATAATCTATTTTGACATTACAACTAGTGTATTTATAATAATTAGTATTATTTGGTGTTATAAAATAAAATCAGTGTATTCATTTATTGCATGATCTTATTATAATTTTTTTTAGATTATAGGATATAAAATTCTACTGTGTATTAATTTAATAGTGTGCTAAAATAGACGAAAATATACTTGTGATAGAGAGAAATTTTAATTTTAAATTCTTTGAAAATTTAAAAATTTTATTTTACATGTAATGTTTTTACAAAAAAAAATTGCAGAAAATTAACTTGATAACTGGCATATGATCAGGCCATCCCATTTCCTAATTGCAATATTTCTTTTAATTTATTTTCGAGTTGTTTGTTTCAAAAAATTTTGACAATAAAAAGCACTTCGAATGAGAAAGAGGCAGGAAAAATCTCATATCCTAATATTCTGAACAAAGAAACAGATAAGAGAGAAAACTTAAGAAAAATCATAAACGTCCACTCCATATTTAAAAAGAAAAACAGAAAATCATAATGGTAAGCAACCTTCAAACAAACGCATAACAAATTAATGCAATATACACCAGAAAAACAACCATGTATGCCATAAATTTAGCCCACAACCAAGAACGAGCTCACTAGAACTGGAATAAAAAAAAGACAGCTAGAAAACACTTACAAAATTAACTAGATATAGATCCAAGCATTGAGAGACATCTCACGTCTAGAACCAATCCCATTACAAAATAACAACAACAAAGAAATTAAATTCCTCATAATCATGTAATTCAGATCGCAGATCAGACTGAAGATTAAATAAGCTCTTGGATAATCGACATAATCGAATATGTTCAAATTTTTATAGACATCTCAAACTCGATCTTGCACATGATGCAACCAAGCCTGAAAACCGATCACGAAAAAAATCCATATGGAAATCTCACGTCTCTAATTATGTGTTGAACTTTCATTATCTCTACTTTGATAGTCGGGCGAGTTAGTTCTATGATTATTTTTTGAACTTTCATTATCTATACTTTGATAATCGGGCAAGTTAGTTCTATGATTGGTCTTTCATCAAGATTTCGGTTTAAAAAAAGCATATTAGCAAATTTGTATTAATATCTATATAATTAAACACAAACAATTTATCAAATATATAATTAAACTAATTACTTTGTATGTTAGGAGGATTTAGGCTGAACTACCATCAGGAAGCAAGATTAGAGCTAGATTTGAGGAAAATGGTTAGACCTCACAACGAGCTAAATCCTCCTTTCTCTTTTTACAGTAAATCCCGGGTTTACAAAGTCCTGTAGTTCTACGATTTTACAGGATTTGGCAAAAGAAGCTCGCGGAAGGTAGAAAGTTACCTGCATAGCGTGCGGGGTCCCATGTAGCTTGCAACAAAAATGTTATAACTTTCGTTCCGATCAGGAAGGGAATGTCGTCGACGGGGCGAAACTGACCAGCAATGAAGGTGGCAAAGAGGCGTGTGACTAGGGTTTCCCAGTAAGCGAACTCTCGTCTGGCCTACGATCAAAGTGTCGTATCTTCCAATCCGATCAAAAAGGGACGCCATAAAAGGAGCAAAGTCGATCAGCAACAAAGGAGGCGAAGAATAGATGGGAGCTGGGAGAGAAGGCTTCGGCTTCGCGAGAGGGAGAGAGCTTTGATTTCGAGAAACCATCGTGCATGGGAAGAACAGAGAAGAAGAAAGCACTTTTAAGCTCAGATTATGCGAAACCATCGCGGCACAGGCTAGTTCGCATTTTTTCACGCGAGAGAATTTCTAACCCGCTCAATTTGAGCGGGTTTCAATGTCGCACGAACGGCTATCTGTAATACATCGCTGATACTTCGGATGACTTTCTTATGTTCGATTCAAAATCAGCCAAACGACCTAATTTAAAAATACATAAAATTAATTTAATTTATCCTCCTATTTCTGCATACCAAAAACCCCTTTGCCATTTTACAACACCGGCCAATACGGTTATAATAATAAGATCTAACTTTTGAATTTTCGCCTGTAGTTTTGGAGAAATTATTCTGTGTGGAATCCGATCACAACGATGTGTTCAGTTGCTTACGTGGAAAGGGTTAAACAGTCAATTGACTTGCGTAAACTTCGTAAACCCGACCCGTCTTCCAGCCCGACCCGGGAGATTTAGGTTGGCGCTTTTTTTTCAGAATTTAAGGTGCGCGCGAATCACCGCAATATATAACGCTTAGAGTCAAAAGTTTTAGCACTCACAATAAGCAGTGACACAAATCCATTGACATAACCCGCTGGCCTGTTATTTGAGATCTTCATAGATACATTATTAAAATTTTCAACCAGGCATTCCCAAATTACCCATGCCCAGTTAATTAATGAAAAATCATCAACATTATTTGCTATTGTCTTAAGCATCTTAGGAACTTTAAAGTTGCTTTGTTGGAAAAATAAATTAGAACACAAATACATAATAAATGTTTTCAACATGGTATCTGGGGAGCTTTCCCTAGTCAACTCAAACATTTCAGTCTTAATATCCTTTGAACTGATTGTTGAAGTCGGCAAGGTCATCCAAGTAATCTCCTCACCTCTGTTTGGTAGTCCAGTCAGGAGGGCCACTTCATCAGCTGTGAAAGGGACAACATGGCCCTCTATAATGAAGCTTTGCTTTTTAATGTTCCACATTGTCAGCAGTTGGTAGATAAGTGGGGCGTTTTGCTCAAATCCAGAAAATTGAAGAAATTAGTAAATATTAAGTTCCTTCAATTTCAATAGGAATTATATCTGAAAATGTATCACACATTGTTCTGAAAGTCGAAACATAGCATATATATGATATAGGACAGACGTAAATCTGCGTAGAATAAGAAACTATAATTAATTTAAAGAAGCATATTATAAGTACGCATATAAAACGCAATAAAATACGCATATTATACGCAACGTGTACGCATACCATACGCAACGTGTACGCATACCATACGCGTTGTGTACGCATACCATACGCGAGGGGTACGCATACCATACGCAATGTACGCAAAGGATGAGAAAAATATCAGCAGAAATCTAGAGTTTAGGGTACACTAATCGTTTTTCTTTATTGGAAGTTTAATTTTATGATTTAAAGATCCAAAGTACTTATTATAAAATGTTAGGTTTTGTCTTCAACATATACGCAGAAAATAAGTGAAATTTACGCAGATTATACACATTGTGTACAAAGAAAATACGCAGAAAAAACGAAAATGATGAGATAAATTTAAACTTTTATTGTTACTCGGAATGATTTAAATTTATTTTTTTGTTTCTTCAGCAAATACGCGTTGAATATCAAAGATATCCGTAGTTCATTTTATGTCAATGTAAGAATTTTCGCACCTTTCTCTTTGCAGGTGAATCCTTTTCCACGTCCATGATGAGAATAAGAGATTGCTGGAGGAATTCAGCGAGAGTTTTTTGCTGGAAGCTCGGGATAAATGGAGCGAATGGCCGAAATGTGGAATTTGGAAAATGTTAAAATTTTCCGCCTTTTTCATTGTATATACTGGGCGGGCCTCGTATTATTTACTCTAAAAAATACAAACGAGTCGGACCTTAACTTTCCACATAAGCTGGCCACGCGTTATATTTTTATTGGCTAATGTTACACAGACCGAACACATATTTGTAATCGGATTACACATTGAATAATTTCTCCTAATTTTTGCCCTCGATCCCTTTCGTTTTCTTGAGGGACTCTCTCCGCCGAGCACGAGCAAAGTTAACTGTACTCGCCTCTCCGCTGTCCTTCACTTCTTCCTCTACCACTGCTTACCGTCTTACCCCTCCAATTATTCGCCGCCGCGCCTCCGCTCTCTACTGCTGGGATGATGGGCCCGGAGACCGCCTCCGGTTTCGGTCCCCCGCTCCCTTCCGAGGTCAGGGCGTCCCTCCCCCTCTCCTCTTCTTCGTCGTCCTCCTCCTCCCCTTCCATCTACCGCAGCGCCGTCAGTGGCGATCCTTTGCTCTTCCCATCCACCTCGTCTTTCTCATCTTCATCGTCCTTCGTCGACCCCCCTTCATACGCCGACGCGGTCTTCCGCCCCGTCGAGCCACAGAACGGAATAGATTCTACTTCGGGAAACGCTACGGCTTTCTCCAGATCCGGTCGCGCCTCCACGTCTGACTATCTCGAGATCACCGTCACCGACCCCCAGAAGGAGAATGATTCCGCAACCTCACTCGTTCCCGGCGGTGGCGCCTACGTAACATACCTCATCACCACCCGCGTCCGCGTAGCCGCCACCGCGTACAGCGTTCGACGCCGATTCCGCGACGTTGTCACCCTCGCTGACCGTCTCGCAGAATCCTACCGCGGCTTCTTCATTCCGATCCGCCCCGATAAAAACGTGGTCGAGTGTCAGGTGATGCAGAAGCACGAGTTCGTTGAGCAGCGGCGAGATGCTTTGGAAAAGTATTTGCAGCGCCTTGCGACGCATCCGGTCGTTGGCTGTAGCGAGGAACTTAGGGTTTTTCTCCGAGCGCAGGGAAAGCTGCCACTGTCACCAACGACGGACGTGGCTTCAAGGATGCTTGACGGGGCGGTGCGGCTACCAAGGCAGTTATTTGGGGACGGAGCGTACGGCAGCGTGGCACCACAGGAAGCGGTGCAGCCCGCGAGGGGTGGAAGAGATTTGTTGAGGATGTTTAAGGAGTTGAAGCAGTCTGTCACGAACGAATGGGGAGGGACGAAGCCATTGCTAGTGGAGGAGGATAAAGAGTTCTTGGAGAGGAAAGGGAAGATACAGGAACTCGCACTGCAGCTCAATGCCACCTCAGAACAGGTATTCAGATTTTAGATTATGTTTAAATGTTATTGTTAAGCTGGTGTATTGCTTTGCTGCACAAGTTGTATGAGTTATGGGCTGATTGGTGTAGCAGCCTATGCTTGCTTTCACCCTGTCCGTGCAAACTTGCAAAGTAGTTGTCTGGATATGAGTATGCATAAGATTACAAATTTAACCAAATTTTGAATAGTTTTCTGCATTCTGGCTAGAAATTCTTTGCCTAAGCTAATACTGTGAACCAGTGGATTCATGGAAGAATTTCTTAAGAATGTGCGGATTTTGCATTTTGGATTTGATAGACACCCATCTTAATAAACTTCAATAGCCTTATCGGCTCATCCTAAGCTAGCTCAGGAACATGTAATTGATGTAGAATTATAGATGCAAGTGATGTTGATTTGAAAATTACGCATGCTTAAATAGAGCTTAATAATTTATTATCTCACAATGAGCTTAAGCAATGACTTCAGCATGCAAGGGGGCAACCAAGTTTACGAAAACAATCACATGCTAATGGGAGGACCATTAAATAACAGATTAATTAATAACATGCTCACGTGGTGTTTCAGAGACAATCCCTAAGTTAACAAATAGATTAGTCACTATAAAGGCCCACTCACACAATGCTGTTGATGTGGGCTAAGCGGATAAGCTTTCACAATAAAACAATGCCACGATGGAGGAGGGATCAAAAAGATAGGGGGGGGGGGGTTTACCCATTTGGAAGAAATAGCCACAGTGAAGTCGTTGGGCTGCCTATGTAGAAAGGATAGCAATACGACCCTCTTGCACTCCCGAACAACACTCTACAACAACATCAATAACATCAAGCCTTTATCCCACTACGTGGGGTCGGCTACATGAATCCTTTTTCTCCATTGTGTCCTATTAAAAGTCAAATTCTCGTTTAAATCTAATAAAGAAAGGTCATTCCTAATATCTTCTAACCAAGTCTTTTTAGGTCTACCCCAACCTTTCTTAACATAAGTCAAATCTAATACCTCTACTCTCCTAACTGGGTCATCGCAAGGCCGCCGTTTTATGTGACCAAACCATCTAAGGCGACTTTCTCTAATCTTATCTTCTATTGGAGCTACTCCAACCTTTTCACGTATATGCTCATTTCGTATCCTATCTCTAAGGGTAAAGCCACTCATCCACCTGAGCATCCTCATCTCTGCCACACTTAACTTAGTATTATTCTTATCTTTTAAAGGCCAACATTCGGCACCATAAAGCATTGCAGGCCTCACTACCATCTTATAGAATTTTCCCTTAAGTTTGAGGGGTACATTTTTATCACATAACAAGCCCGATGCATTCCTCCACTTCAACCATCCAACTTGAATTCTGCTGATAATATCCCCATCTATTTCACCATCACTCTGAACAATAGATCCAAGTATCTAAAAACGTTACTCTTATAATGACTTGATCGTTCCAAAGTACAATCCCCTCACTAGGTCTATTACTATAAAAATTACACTCCATATATTCGCGTTTTAGATGCTACTCAAGCGAAAAACATTAGACTATAAGGTTGACTCCATAATTAAGTTACCTTCAACCCTTCTAGTCTATCAACAATGAAAGAATATCATCAGCAAAAAGGCATACACCAGGTACATCCTCTTTGCGCAAATGGTCTAGTTGAGAACATCCATGACTAAAGAAAAAAGATATGGGCTTAAGGCTGATCCTTGATGTAACCCACTGAATAGGGAAATACTGGTCAATCCACCTTGTTTTGAAACACAAGTAAATGCTCTGCATTACATATCTTTTAATGATTTGAATATAAGCATTATTGACTCCTTTCATTTCAAAGAACTCTCCAATAGCACTTTCTCTTGGAACTTTATCAATATGCTTTTCTAAAATCATAAATATCATTCTGTAGGATATCCTTATTTTCTCTATATTTTTCCACAAACCTCTTAATAAATGTATGGCATTCCATAAGTCGACCTACCCGGCATGAATCCAAATTGATTTTGAGAAACATTAGTATCACGCCACAACTTATGCTCCATAACTCGCTCCCATAGTTTTAAAGTTGACACATTAACTTAATCACCTCTTTTAATTCGGCACCAATCTTGTATGCATCACCCTTTATTCTTAAAAATATTGAATTAACACACTCATTCTCCACTCAGTCTGGCATCTTCTTAGTCTCAAAATAGTATTAAAAAGTTTAGTAAGCCATTTAAATTCCTTCATCTCTAAGCATTTCCACCCTCTATTGGATATCATCAGGTTCAACAGCTTTTCCACCCTTCATTTTCTTTAAAGCCTCTCTAACTTCAGTTTTACTAATACGCCGATAAAACATAAATCTTTATTTTCATTTAGGGTGCTAAGGTCACTATAGTCAATCTTATTTTTACAATCTTCATTAAAAAGTTTAGCAAAATATCTCATCCATCTTTGTTGAATATCATCTTCTAAGAAAAGTATTTTTTGATATTCATCTTTAATACACTTCACTTGAACTAAATCCTTACTACTCCTATCTCTTTGTTTGGCTAACTTATACATATATCTTTCTCCCTCTTTAGTATCTAATCTATTATATAAATCACTAAAAGCTAATGCCTTTGCATCGCATATTGCTTTCTTAGCATCCTTACGAGCCACTTTATATATTTCCCAATTATCAAAATTTTTAAAATTAAACCAATTTTTATAACAAAGCTTCTTATTTTTAATTTTTTCTTGCACATTAGGATTCCACTACCAACTATTTTTACTATTAGGAGCTTTTCCCTTTGATACTCCAAGGACATCTTTTGCAATATTCTTAGGGTGCGTTTGGGACGGCTGTTGCTGTCGGTAAAGCAGGTTGTGAAATTGTTGTACATAAACCTGCTTTCTTAAGTTGCTGTATAGAAATCAGTCAATGTTGTTTGGGTATTACTACTGCCGAACTGCTACGCTACTGCTGTTTTACAACAAATTACCTTGTTACCCTTATATATATGAAGATGAATAAAATTTGTTCAAATTTAATTTTTTTAACTCTTTATGTTAACAATTTTGATATAAAATTTAACTATTTTATTGCTTTATACATATTTAAACCAAATGTATAAAGTAATAAAAAAAAATCAAAATCAAAACTCCTATGACGCTGAACCAATATCCCCCTTCCCTTTGCCAGTCTTCTTCGGCAGTAAGGTCTGGTGTATGTTTGGCAGAACACCACCATTAGCGATTGTCATAGAACCCAAAAGCTTGCTAAGCTCCTCATCATTCCTCACGGCAAGCTGAATGTGTCTAGGCACAATCCTATTCTTCTTATTATCTCTCGCTGCATTCCCCGCCAACTCAAGAACCTAGATTACAAAAGCAATAAGACCACCTACAGCCAAATATTGCAGAGAACAAGAAACCTAACTCATTTAAAAATAGATTAGTATACCAACCTCAGTAGCTAGATACTCAAGGACGACAGAAAGATATACGGGAGCACCAGCACCAACACGTTCAGCGTACTTGCCAGCCTTAAGGAAGCGAGCAATCCTCCTGACGGGGAACTGCAAACCGGCCTTATGAGATCTAGACACAGATTTCGTGGCTTTGGCCTTGCCACGCCCTCCCTTGGTAGATGCAGTAGAGCTCATGGCGGCCATAAATCAGAAAGCAAACCCTAGCTTTTGAACAAGGAGAATGACGACGCTGCAGATAAAAATATGCCCATCGGAGAAGGCGCGCATCGGAGAAGCAGCGACCCGGCTTTTCCGTCTTTTATGCCCTTCACAACGGCGGAAAGCAGTGAGCCGCAGCGGACCGCGGGACGCAATGAAAGGTCGCGAGAAGCAGCGGCGGGCTGCAGAAATTTTTCTAACTTTGTTCTACCGCAATGTCCCAAACGAGCACTTAATAAATTTTTATAAAGCAAAGCAGTCGTGAAGTCGTCCCAAACGCACCCTTAATATCATTAGCCACTTTTTCCCACATAATATTAGCATCCTCATGCACAGACAAAATCTTAAGATCTAAAATCTTATTTCCAAAAATATTTTTGTTAATATTCTTTAAATGCCCGAACAACACTCTAACGTCTCAAAAAATTTTGGACAACAATTTTGTGGGAGCCAAATCCTGGAACAACTGGTAGTGGGGCTGGAAAATGGTCTGATCTTGTATTGCAGCAGTAGGTAGCCGTCTTTGGGATGATTTGAGGAGAAACAACAAGCTCCTGGCGTGAATTTTTTTTTTTGGGGGCTGGGGGGGGGGAGCGACAAGCATTTAATGATTAGGGGCTGATTTGGGGTCTTAGTGAAGTTGACAACTATAGTTTACTAGTTAAGGAAAGAAGAACTAATTCAGCTTTTCAATCAATACTCAGATTTGCTGATGAGGATATCCTATTAGATCGATCCACACGGGACCAACTCAGGAGGACAAAGGCGTAACTCTTCCGCCTCCTTGTACGCGCCGACCTAACTATAAATCCCACGGAGCGATTGAGTAGATTTTTGAGGGAGTTAGTAAGGAAATTTGAATATAGGGATTGTTTAGAGATTTTCTTTTGGATTGTATGTATTAAATAGTTTGTTTTCTTAGGGTTATGACATCTTAAATTTGGCTAAAATTTTATATCTCTTTGTTTCTTTGGGCCCTAGCGGCATCTAGAGATTTGGGAGAGATAGATCCTCCTCTCGAATAGAGGATCGATTGTATCATGTTATTTTATTCCGTTCTATTTGATTATTGCAATAAAATTACTATTTTTCTGGTTTTCTTTTGTAGGTTGGAAGAGTTTTTCTCATTGTTTTTCTAAAATTGATAGGAAGAAAGTACTAAGCCACATTGAACTCGTTTGGTTGCCTATGTGGAAAGGACAACAATACAACCCTCATGTACGACCGGACAACACTCTAACGTCTCCGAAAATTATGGACATCAACTATGTGGGCGCCAAATCCTAGAACAACTGGTAGTGGGACCGGAAAATGGGCTGATATTATTGTATTGCAGCAGCAGGCTAT